TGCAGGTAGCGCACAGCCCTCACAACCTGCACAAAGATGTCCCGAGCCTTGGGCACACAGGGCAGCTTTCCCAGGTGCTCCACCAGCTGCAGCAGGGTAGTGTCCATGGCCTCCATCACGATGTAGAGCTTCCTATTGCAGACCTCGATGAGCTCAAAGACGTGCACGATGTTGGGATGCTGGATCTTGCGCACGATGGAGAGCTCCCGAGGCAGAAACTTGTACACGACGGCTCGGGACGCTCGTTGCCGATCCACCACCTTGACGGCTAAGGGGCCCTTGTGTTTGCTGGAGGTGGCTGCTTTCACCTTGGAGAAGCTGCCCTCCCCTAATGTTTGACCCAGCCTATAGCCCAGCTCATTAAGTAGCCTTTCTCCTCCATCGTTTTTTGGCATGATTTGTGATCGCGATGGGCTTGATCAGAGCTCATGTCTTGCTCCAGAATTTGAAAGGTGTGATGTCTGGTGCATGGCAGCTCTCGACCTTCGCCTATGGCAACCACTGGTTCCACGGATGCCTCTGTGGGTTCCATGCCCCTCCCAGGCATTGTGATGGGGTGGAATGTTGTGCAGCAACACCTTTGAGACATGACATGAGCGTCTGGTTGGTCCCCTCTGCTCATGAGGTGCCCACACACATGTTGGGGGAGAACTCTGCTGGGGATAGATATTTCAGAGTTTTTACTCTTTCAACCTCTTCACTTGGGTTCTAAACATAGGGCTGTGTGGATGAAGAGAGTTTAATTGTTAGTTTTCTGGGATGAGGGACCCATCTAGGGACCTGTACCATTTTTCTGCAGGTTATCAGTTACATTAAAATCCAAACTACACAGAGTGGTAAAAAGGAGTGACTTCTACTGGCACTAACTGCAAACTACCTTGGCTGGCTATAAATACTGACTTATTTATGGTGATGGTGCATGGAGCTATTACTAGGTAGACTTTCTGACCTTGTGTGATGTGGACAGGGGAACTTTAAATGCATCTTTCAGAAGAAAGAGCTGTTCAGTCTCTTGAACTTGGATTTTCTCTCCATCTATTTTTATCAAAATTATATTTTTGAGACAGAGAAAAGGAAATTTTAAAAGCTTTTAGTCCATTTTACTTGCCATAAGGTGGCTGTCAAATTGAGCAGAAGGGAAGCTGGGCTGGGCTACAACATCCGCTCCAGAGAAAAGCATCCCTCCCATTGCATGCTGCATCTCAGGCCAGTGTTGACTCCTTCCTACAGGTGCTGCATCGTTGCTTTTCACAAATAGTTGTTTCTGTTTTGTGCTGGTTTTTTTAAGCTGCTCAAGGATCCTGTCTTTCCTGCAGTGCTCATGTCCTTTCCAGCTGTACAAAGAAGCCTAGGACCACAAAACCCCTGTCTTCCTATATACCAACCCAAATGCTATTTTTAATTTTTGAATATATGTTTCACTTTTCAAGCTGGTTTTAAAGAAGAATAGTAATCAGCTGAAGATGGAAGAAAATCTTTCTTGTAAGTCCATCTTGTCAGTACTCTGAGGTGACCTGAGGAAATTAAATTAGCTAAAAGCCACAAACACAGGCCTATGTGTGCTGTGGGGGTGCTTTGCTCTGATGCTAAGAGAAAGTAACGTAACCACCATCTCGAGTTTTACCTGCCTAGAACTTGTGGGTCCAAACCAAACCACTTTCCCACTTCAGAAGCTATTTATACAGGCCAGTTGGGAATATGGGTATTCAACATGCCGTGGAAGTGTGGTTGCCAGGGATGTACCACCAGGCATGGACCATCAGGCTCTACCATCAGACATGCCATCAGAAGGCCAGGCAAGCAGCATCTACATTACACGATGGAGGATTTGCTCTTGTGCAGGGGCTGCCCTGCTACCCTGCCTGGTAGCATTCCAGGTGAGACTGAACAGTGCTCTGAGGAACCTGATCCAGTTGAAGGTGTCCCTGCTCATGGCAGGAGGGTTGGACTGGAGACCTTTAACTGTCCCTTCCAACCCAAACTATTCTATGACTCTATACTGGCCACTGAAGAACACTCTCAGTCCATTCTTATCTCCCCCAAGAGAGCACAGGCCCATTTGACAGCAAGGACCTTGCCTGGGGCTGATGTCTTTGTGGAGGTTGAGTGAAGGGAATCCCACAGGCATGCAGAAGTGCAGGACAATTTACCCAGCCAATGCTCCTTTTCTGTTTGGGCCTTCACATAAATGCCCCCAGATTTCTTATTTCCGAAGCGGATCAGAAAGAAGCCATTTCCAGAAGTTCCTGTTCAGAAACTGTGGTTACTTAAACACAGAACAATCCCACCTAGCAATCAGTAGGCCAGATGCAGAAAGCTGGATTTTGCTGGATACGCATGATTTCCTGACGTATTTAGCCCTTGAGTCATAACCACAGTGACTTCAGCAGAGGCCTGAGCTGGACTTTTTGGAGGAGCTGGAAACTTTGAGATGGCTAAATATAACCAAACCAACCTGGGCATTTTTACAAGGGAAAATGCTTAGACCAGGTGGCCCTTCCTCACTATCAGAGCACCTCTGGAAAATGCCATTGCATGTTTCAGCAAATAGAAAGATGTGTTTGCAAATGTCTATAGGGGCTTGGATGATGCTCAGTATGTCTTTTAAAATAGGAATGGGCAGACACATTAAAGGCATGTTCCCAAAGCTTACAGGTAAATCCTTGCTTGTGGGAAACCCCTTTGAAGCCCCTATAGTAACATAATCAGAAGAGGGAGTGCCCACACTGCCGTGTCAAAACTGAAGTGGCAGCTGCAGACCAGGTTGCAATGGTAAGGAGTAATATTGTGGACTCTGCACTTCTGGTAATTCTCCATCTGCTTGAGGGAGCAGGTCGCTTTTGGGAAGTTTTCTGCAAGCTTGGCTGAGGTGGGCAGTTTCAGTCTCAGCAAGCCCTTCTCTGAGCCCAGAAAAATCCTTGTGCAGTTAGATGCAGCTGGAGCATCCTGGCGGCTGAAGGGCTTGAAGGAGACATGAAAGAAAGCCCTGGTTTCCCAGGAAGGAAGCAGCTATCGTAGCAAACGCTCCCCCTTCTGTACGCTCCTGGCTGAAGCTCTGTGAGCTGTCTTGGCTGCAAGCATCACTGCTTGCACTGTGCTCCTGCCCCAGAGCTGACAGAATGGCCTGGGACTGATGCAAACAGCTCCAAAGAGAGACAGCAAGAGGCATGGATGAGAGATTTTGGTTTGGTATGGAACTGTCAGGCCGAGGGGGAGGAAAGACAGCTGAGCTCAGCTTTCTGTGCTGTAGTTAGATCTCAGAGAAACAGATTTGTGCCTTGTTGGCTGCTGGCTCAACATTTGTTGATATAAAAATGCACCAAAAAAATCTCTTTTGCTTTCAGTCCTTGTACCTCAAGCACTGCTAACTGTGATATAAATATTTAGGTCACACCAGTATACTTTAGTAGTGTGCTCAGTACCAACATATATAAGAGGATACTGAGCTTCTGCTCTTTCTAGTGCGTTTTTTGCATCAAAGCTGTGTTTGTAGAACTTATTTGTTCCATTGCTCTTGTTAATGAGAGCAATTAGAAGTCAGGCAGCAATTACTGGTAAATGCGGTATGTGAGCAGGAGGAGCTGGTCAGCAGAGGTATAAATTGGAGCTCACTGTCGGGGTTTTCATTAAGGGATTTTTCTGACTCTACTGGCACGGTTGTGCATCAGTCTGGCATGCAGTTAGTCCCTCTGCCAAAGAGGATAGCTGCTGAAGGACCATCCAGGCTGCTGTACCCAGAGAGCTACCTGATGCCCCAAAAGTAACTCACCTACTACAAACTCAGCATAAGTCTCTGAGTAAGTTCATCTGGGTGAGTCCTGCATTGCCCAGGATGGGACTGATCACCAGACGCCATGGTGTGCTGGGCATCTCGCATCAGAACCAGGAGAAGCTCTGAGTTAACCCTCTCTGGGCCCTGGATGTGTTACAATTACACCATAAGGTTTTCCCTCAAGTTAACTCAGCCTTGCTGAGAAGGTAAAGCAGCTCAAGGTCTCTATCCCTCTGCATGGAGTACAGCTACCTTCAACCAGAGAGGAACACACAAGCCATGAGATGTAATAGAGGAGGGTTTTATTTCTTTCTGCATCATCCCATAGATTTTTTTTCACTAAAAACATGCCTGTGCAGTCCCTTTTGGGGGTGCTGCCCTCTTGACGAACCTCAGCAAGGCAGCGCAATCTCAGTGCAATTACTGAGACAGCAGATGAAATGCAGTATGGCCAAGGAGGGAGTGAACAAGAGAGCCATTAGATGCTTTGGGAGCTCCTCCCTCTCCTCTGTGAACCCATCACCCCTAAGGTCCTCCATCCTGTGCCCTCAGGACAGGGTTGTGTGAGTCCCACTGGCATGGGGGGCAGAAGGGCAGAGCAGCCACATGGGCTCAGATGCCTGCCATTGATCTGATGACAGACTGACACCTCCGGGGCAGGGATTTCACATGTGAGCGGACACTGTTGAGCATAATATAGGTCCTGCTGGCACAAGTGTACCAAAATATAACTCCTGTGAATGCAGATGTCCTAGAAGCCAAAACAAAATGTATTTTTATACCTTATGCCATGAGGTCGTAAGCTACAATGTGTAGAACAACCTCTGCACTTGCAAAGAGCCCTTGAGATTTCTTTAAATACCTCTGTTTCCATACAAGCAGAAATATTTTGCCCAAGGGTTGTAATGTTCAAGACTGGTCAACGAATTCCTAAGTGCCCACTTTGTGGCCAGTCTATGACCAGACCTTATTGCTTAGCACCCTGTGAACGTGGGAATGGGCAAACTGCTGCACAAGAAGTAAAAATAATGTTAACATTTTTGCTTGACTAAGTCATTATGGATAGCACAAAGGGCAACCACAGTTTTTCCCAGCAGATGCTGAAGATACCAAGATCTTTTGGCCAGCAATGGGTAAAGAAAACCTTAAACAAAAGTTTCTATGTTTTATCCTGTAGCTGATTTTATTACCTTTAAAAAATAAGATTGTTTTCCTTTCACAGAGAACGCTGGCCTGAAAAGAAGTGTGCTGCTCACAGCACTATTTTTCATCCATCTGGTTGCTGCAGGTGCATAAGGCTGGTGAAAATTTTGCAGGTGAGAATTACTCTGTAATCCCATGGAGCTATACTACACCCTCTAGGTATCAGGACCAAAGGGAACAAGCCAAGGTGAGGCTAACTTGTAACGGGTACAGCCACTCATCAGCTAGGGCATAGCCAGTAAAGAAAATGGCACTTGGCAAGTATTCTCATTTTTCTAAAGATGTTATTTGCCCCTTTCTTGCCAAGAACTCTTCACTGAGCTATTTAAAGGTAATTGATCGCTGGCCTGTGTGATATCTGAGCAGTTGGAAAACGGGGCAGATCCCGTGAAAAGCCGCTGAATCCATGCCACCCCAGGAGCTGAATTGCTGACATTGCCCTAGATCCTTTCCTGCAAAACCAAGCTGTCTGTGTGGTTATTTTAGACACTGATGTTGAACAGACCTGGGAAGTCAAAGGTATAAACCTAACTGGAAAGCTTTGTCTGTGAGCATTGTGCGTGTGTGCAATGGCAGCCTAAATTTGTGGCTCCTGACTGGCAGCAGCAACAGCAGCACAGGCAAGGGAGAAAACCAAAGCTGCAGGTAGTCAGAAAGCTGTGCACGGTAAGGTGTTGCTTTTGCTTTTTCTTTTTTTCCTCTCATGTTCCAGGGATTGGTGTCTGTTTAAAATACTTGGGCTATGTTAAGGTTTTTATCCCTTTGGCAGATAAGGAGATTTGGGACCTCACATTCCTGGTGTTCAGAAGCAGCTGTGATTCCTACAGCTGCTTGCTGTCAGATCTTGCCCTTACCCTCTTTTCAAACAGAATAAACTAGTGAAGCTGGTCGTGGGACTAGTACAAAGTCTCCTAGAAATTCAGCAGGATGAGAGGAACATCATCAAGCTCTGTGGATATTCACTTGATTAAACAGGATTGTTCTGACACCAAAGAGAAACCTGAGGCTGGCATGCCTCATGTGTCAGAAACCTCTCTTCATGTAAACAAGAATTTAAACTGTGTGAGGGACATAAACTGGGTTTGTAAGCCATCAGAGGGAATAGTTATGTGGCAATAGGCCATACCACCAACTCTTGGAGCAGCTTGTGAGTGCCTTGTAGGTGCCAAATGAGATGAAAGATGGCAGGGCTAATGAGCTGGTCTGCAAACAGGATTTTGCAGCTGGCATCGTCAGGCTGCACCTGGCAGGAATCACAAACCTGAAGGCAATAAACTAGAGTGGAGAAGGAGACAAAAGGGGCTAAGCAGGCATTGGTAAGTGTGTTTCTGGAGGATTAGGAAGGCTCTTTAAGCAAATTTGTCTTTGAGAAGCTTTGCACCAAAATTCTTATGGAAAGAGGAAGCAAAGTGAGATCATATGTCTCCATCCTTGTGGTAAGTGGAAAGTCATGCCTGGCTTGTCAGAGCTAAGGAAACCCAGCTGTGTAGGGAAGCAAGCTTTACTTTTTGGTACTGGAATGCCTGCTGAGAGGAGAAGGCATGGCTGGGGAGAGAGGGAAGCAGAGAGGAGGACTTGGTCTCAGAGCTCACCACACCCTTTCCTGCCTGGATGTGTTGATCTCCCTGTGTCTTTGTTCAGATGGCTCCTTCCCACCACCTCCCTTCCAAAAGCTGAGAAGCTATTTCTCCCTTGGCCTGTGCTGCAGACACTTGGCTTGGCCTTCAAGTGGCTGATTCCTGAGTGCTTACCAGGGAGATCCTCCAAACATCCTCCCAAGCCAAAGGGAAGGGCTGAGCAGAACTGACAGGCTGCTGGGTCGAGAGAAGCACTAAGCTTGCTCTTCCTGCCCCTCCTCAAGGCTGGGGAGAAAGTCCAGGGAGCCGCTGAGATCCTTCTTGGCGCTGGACAGCTGGTAAAGAGGGTGTGGGTAGGAACTGGGGCTCCATGCTGCACATCTCCTGAAAGCAGGGAATATCTCTTTGCTCTCCTTGTTGCTTCAGCATCCACAAATCTCTTCCTATAGCTGAAAGATTATATGCCTGCCACTGCTGGTGACTTGCTTATCTGTGTTTGTGTGCCTGCTGTCTGTCCCCAGGCAGAGCTAGCTGGTGTTCCATCATGGCTGGCTGTTGGACAGGAGGGAGAGGGCTTCAGGTGAGGATTTATGCAAGGCAAAGCTTTCAAAAGCCACAGCAAATGCCTCTCGGAATTGGAAATGGGTGGTGATGAGGGTAGAGAGAAAAGTTGGGAAGTAAGAAGCTTTTCTTACCACATCAAATAATGTCTGTTAAATCCAAATACAATTTAGAAAAGCAGGTAAGCCTTTTGTGATTAACTATCCCAAATAAACAATACTTAAATTTCTTCCTGGGGAGAGCATTCTGTATTTGGGAAGAAATTTAGCTGTCTGGCACTTGTTGCAAATAATTTGTGGCCAATTAAGGACTGCAGAATTTGGTCTGTAATTAGGATATGACAGCCTACAGTAGACAGGGTTGGAAAGTTGATGGCAAAGTGTTATAGCTGCGAAGCACGTGTTTAAATGCTTTTGAATGGTATGGACGTTACCAGAGGCTGATTTCATGAGGTGCTGTGGAGTCACGTTCTAAAACCTTTTCTGAAGGTGCTCAACCTGAGGTGGCTTCTCCCACAGGTCTGGTTAGCCCTGGGTGAGCCAGTCTTGTACTGAGAGACTGGGAGGACTGGAGTTAGAGGCTAGATATGCAAACCAAAGAGCTTCAGAGCTGTCAAGTCTGATGAAAAAGTTCAGACTGAGGTTTGGAAGACAGTAAGGACAAATTCTAAAGGTAAATTCTAAGTGGCAGAAGGAGGTAATCTTGGACCAGATAGTTGGTGTGTGCATACCAAAGAGGAAGGGAGGCAGGCAGGCACTTTTGGAACAAGGCTGGAGGCAGCTGACAGCGTCTGCAGGTCTGTTTGCGGAACAGACTCCATCTGTTTACTCCATTCTATACCTCCCTGCACAGGCTTTTATGGTATTTGAAGCTGAAACTGCCTGAGAAATCAAGCAAGAAAATAGCCATGACCCTGAGAGGAAAACCACCAAGGCAGACTGAGGCTTATCACATGCAGCTGTGAAGGGACGGGTGGGCAGCGAGTATGGACCTGCTCGCACCAGTAGCAGCAGCTCCTGCTTTACATTTGCTGCTCTGCTTTACATTTGCTGCTCTGCTTTCCAGCAAATGGGGTTTTTGGTGCTTTCCTGCTTGCATGTTTCTCTAAAAGGGAAATGAATCCATTGAAGGCAGAAGCCAGGTGTTCCCCTCGCTGTGCTGGCAGTGGCTGCAGAGCATGGAGCTGGGCTGGGAGGGAGGGATGGTGTGCCTTCACCCCACTGCTCAGACAGTGGGGTGAAGTATATATAATATCCAAGTATATATCATATCCATATAATAAGCCCTGATGTATATATAATATCACAGTGCCCAAGACAAGAGTAATACATAATGTCACAGTGCCCTCTTGGGGGCAGGTGTTCCTTGGAAATAGACCTTTGTGATTTGTGTGCTGTGGATCTCATTGCTCGCCACTGTTGTTTGTTCCTCATGCTGCCTGGCTAAATCATGGAAATTCCCACTGAACTCTACTCCTCTTTAAGAAGAGTTCAGACTTTTGGCCTTGCGTTTTTATTTTTCTGTTATTTCTCTGCTGCTGATCTGCACTTTAAAATGACTGGGGTGAGGAGCTCCTGAGTGAAGATGGCAGTCTGCCCTCAGAAATGAAACCTGTCTTGTTGAAACGCTGTGAGATGAACTCGGCCCCAGCAAGAAACAAATTGTTTTAACAATAGATTTAATTAGCTGGTGTTTGTATTCCTTCACAGTGTGCTCGAGTCCTGGTGCACCTGCTGCTAGACCTGTCTGAAAGCCCTGGCATCGCCTGCCCAGGAGTGTGAAGAATGACTGAAGCGTTAAATAAGGACGTGGGTAAGTGTGGCAATTCCCTGCTGACTGATGGAACAGCCTGGAGAGGACGGGACTGTGGCCAGTCTCTCTTCCCCTCTAGCTTTTGCAGTAGAATCTTTTGTTAAATGTTAAAAAGGAATAAAATATAAATAAAAACACAACTTCCAGTAAATATTTGGGATGATCACAGCTAATATGGCTCTTGATGACCTACTGTTGCCACTAATGCTTTGAATGTCGGATACTTAAAAGCAAATACTTTGCCTGTGCAGGAGCCACTCTGACTCACACAAATTGGCCTCTTCCCTCGGGCACCTAGTGACAGGACAAGGGGAAATGGCCTCAAGTTGCACCAGGGGAGGTTCAGTTTGGATATTAGGAAAAATTTCATCACTGAAAGAGTTGTTGAGCATTGGAACAGGTTCCCCAGGGAAGTGGTGGAGTCACCATCACTGAAAGTGTTCAAAAACTGAGTAGACGTGGCACCTCAAAATACGGTTTAGTGGGCATGGTTGTTTTCAGTCAAAGGTTGGACTTGATGATCTTGTCTTTTTTGTAATACAGACCTATCATTTCCCTGATTCCTTATGTTTGTGGGGTTATGAAAGGATCTCTGTTTTATGGAAGATATGAAATGACAAGCCTTTGCATTTGTGACAGTTTTTCCCCTATGTACACATAAAAGGCTGCATGTGTGGGTTTGGGGGTTGGTTTTCTTTTGTTTTGTTTGGTGGGTTTGGGGTTTCTTTCCGAACAAATCTAGCTAGAAGCCTGCCTGTGGTGAGGATTCAGTTGAAATAGATGTGCCACCTGGCAGATGAGTCCATGACCCTAAAAGCTGGTTTAGTTGAAAAGCCAGCCTCAAAGATTGATGCTGAGGACTTCCCTACCTTTTTTTTCTATTTCTAGATCTAGTTTACATCAGAAATAGAATTTTCCTAAATGCCACACCTGAAAACTTGTTCTGGGCCCTACCAGTCAGTCTTTCATGTTGCTGCTTCTCCCCTTCTCTCTTCTCATGTCATTATGTCCCTAAAGATAACACTTTTACAGGGCAGCCCTTGGACGTCATCTAGCAATACCAGACAGCACAGTTGGTTGGAAATATGGAGCATGGGCAAAAAAATCATGGTGTGAGGAATGCTTATCCCACTAGGTGCAGTTGGGAAATGCTAGGATAGATCTCCTGTTTTCCTTGATCAGTAGCCCTTTGTTAGCTGGGAGTGGGGAGAAAACCTTGCATTTCTGAGCACACCTTGCTTCGTGTGCTGAAGCCTTTTTCCTTGCAAAGGCAACTCTTGGTCTCCCCAACTCCCTGCTTTCCTTCTAAGCTCTGACAAGGTAGGACACGGAATCTCTTAGGTGCTGGCTTCGTTTCCTTGGTTCTTGCTTGGCCTTGGCCTGTATAAAGGCATTGCCTGATTTCATTTTGCTGCTCAGTGGCTCTGTTTTAAGGGTTGTTTGATTGCTACTTACTGGATCTTGCTCTCAGATTGTTTTAAATTCAGCAAGATCTAACTGTGTGGCCTGAGCTGGTTTGTGCCAGGCAGGACTACAGCTGAGTATTTTAGGAAAGTATCTGTATTTTAGGAAAGTATCCTTTTTGTGGACAAGGGAAGAGGAGCAAAAACCCACTATCTGAGAGGCTGTGATAGTCTTGCAGGGCACAGCCTTGGCACATGGACAAATGATAGCTTCTGCCAGGAACATGGCTTAAATCTGCTCAGTTCTGGACAGCCTGAGAGCCCATGAGGAGCAGAGTCCAGCCATGCCCTGTAGGCAGTGGTTCCAGGGTGAGTGAGGCAGGATCTCCTCCTGCAGCCAGTGCCAGGGCACTCAGAGAGCAAAGCAGGGAGGTTGCTGCTGCTCATGCTGTCTCTGCCTCTGGCATGCAGGAGCAGGCTTTGAATTTGAAGCAGAGAAAAATCTCTCTTATACAACTGTTTTCTTCCCTCACAGTTGGTTTATTTATACAGCTTTCAGATTTTTATTTTTTTTTTTTGAGGAAAGAAGTGGATTCAAACTCCCTTTTGCTGTCTCATCAAGCCTGTATCAGCAGGTTGCAAAGGTAGCAAGGTGAGCAGGAGTGCAGTGATGGCATCTCTGGGCTCTTAGACACTGCTAGAATTCTGGCAGTGGTGGGAATCAGGCACAGTTGGTTTGTCAAGACAGTAAATGTTTTATTCCTCCCAGATATTTGTGTGGCAGGTAGGTGTGATAGAGAGGCATCAGTGAGGCATATCATTAAGGTGATATTGTCTCCTTGCATGCTCTTCTTTTTCCAAGTCTCACTCCAGTGTCCTCAATGCACAGGGGGCACGGAGAAGAAACAAGGTAGGGTTTCATCAGTAGCTGTCAGAAGCAGAAATAAGTGACTTCAAGTCATACAACGTCACTCAATTTGTACCTGCTTGTCCTGACCATACCTCGTATTTACATGGTGCCACCAGAAACTATTCTTAAGTGTTAAAATTTAAATGAACACATGGTCCTGCAGGCTAAATCTGTTACCAGTGATAACATTTCCACTGTAGTTTGTTTTGTAGCACCTCAAGAAAAGCAAGTGATTGGAGTGATTTATTTTCAATCCCAAGGAAAAAAATAGCCTTTGAGCCTTTGTGAGCTCCAGAGGAAAAGCAACCACAGTGCTGGGCAGGCAATATCTGCAGTCAGGGAAGTGACTGATAACAACTTTCTCATCTTATCACTTCCCAGATAGGTTTTTGCTATAGGATGCAGACATGAAAGAGTCTCTAGGGTCCTTCTGCCCTACATGGGAACTGCAGCAACAATCCTGGCACAGCTTGAGAAAATAGTCGGCTCTTAGTCACTGTGTAAGAACTCTGTTGACTGATGAGGTTTGAGGGAGGCACAAGGACCCAGGGTGGTGGGGTGAGAACTGCCTGGGATTTGGATGGGGTATTATGTGGTGTGAATTACACCCACAGCATGAAGGGTCCCCAGGCACCCCTGTGTTTCATTTCACCCAGGCAAGTGAGAAGTGAATTGTTACCCTATGCACATCTGGGCGTAGCTCGTACTTCTGGGACACGGGTCGTGGCTGTGCCATGACAGGCTGGTTGGTCACAAAGGGAATGTGGCAATAGCCATTCAGAGACTCTTCAGATCTTGGTCACTTACCAGTTCCTCAAGTGGCTTCCTATTGATATTGCACAGCAGCAATGACAAAATTAGACCACTGCTATAGACAGATTACTTCCCTGTGTGACATACATGTGAGAAGTTGCTTTGGCATCAGCTGAGAAAGCCTCTGAGGGCTAGTGAGCAAGTAGACACCACCTGTGACTAAGGCCTCCCCAAAAGGTGTGGTCAGACTTGAACTATGTGCAACCAGCTTTTCAACAGGGAAGCACTTGATGATGGCTCTCTTCCCTCCTACTGTCCCTCTTCTTAGGTGTCTTACATTCCCAGGTGAAACACATCATCCCTCTGTGGATTTTACAGCTCCAGTTTCTGGGGGGAATATTTGAAGGGGAGTTTCTAGGTCTGGATTACTGATGAAAAAAATACCTGTTTAGGAGATGAGGACTTTTTTTATCTCTTTTCCTAGTAGGAAAATGTTCTTTATACTTATAATGAGGGGAATTTCCCACCTAGCTGCTTTGTTTTCAGCTTGGATGTTCTTTTGTCTCCTTACTGGCAGACACGGCCTCTGGCAAGGGAGAAACTGCTGTTTCTCCAGCCCCTCTGAAGTTCTCCCTCACCTCTCAGAATACCAAACATATCTGATAGCTCAGACTTAACTGCAAGATGCCAATCAGGCAGTTTGTCCTTGGGCATGGGAAAAGGCCCTGAATTACGAAATCTTCAGTTATTCTGCAGCCAAAACTTGTGGATTCTCACTGTGGTGACCCCTAGGTGGAAAATGTCCTCCTGGCACTGGTCAGGAGAGCATAGCAAGCCACTGCTGCTGCTTTCCAGGCAGTGCATTTGCTCTCTGTAGCCCCTCTCCCCAATCTCTTTTAGAAGGATCTCGTTTTTAGGCACTCCTGCTTTATCTTCCTAACTCCAAAAATAGATGTGTCTGTCTAATTATACTTAATGCTTCTGGGTGCATAATTGCAGAAGCCAGGGGAGAGTGCAGTGTTTTGCTTCCTCATCTTTCTTATCCAGGACTTCATTAACAACAGCTGATTGTCCCATCACCATGTCCCCTGCATGCATGATTTACAGTCTCTTTCATCACAAATTGTTCAACTTTTTCCTGCTCCTTTCCAGCTTCCTTGTGTTAACCATGGATAGATGATGGTGGCTGGGCTGATGTTCCTGAGGCAGACAAGGAAACAGGAGCAGCATGTCCTGCAGCTCCCTCTCCTGTGCCTGCCCCCTGAGACACACAATGATCTGCATCTGCTACAGCTGGGAGACTTGCTGGGCAAGGCACTGAGTGGGCAGCAATTATACTTGCCCTGGTGCCTGCCTGCACACCTCCTGGAGGCACTCTTACCACAGGGCCATTTCACAAGGCCTCCTTGGAGCCGTGAACCTCCTCTTTTCTTCTTGGATCAACCTCAAAGGGCATTTTACTTCCTTGCTTCCTAGCACAGAACTTGTGTGGGCACACTGGCATTTCCAACCCTCTGCCGTAACTCTCGGAGGGACCTTTCAGTTCCTCAAATCCTCAGATAAAATATTCTGGGGAAACTCTGCTACATGCTTTCCAGTCTCTGAGATACGTGATGTGATTTTTGGGGTTGTTCCGTGCAGAGCCAGGAGTTGGACTCGATGATTCCTGTGCATCCCTTTCAACTCAGGATATTCTCTGAGTCTATGAGGTGGCTACTGTCAGGGACAGGGAAGGGCACTGGAAAGACTGCCTACCCAGCCTGGCTATTCTTGCATGCATCTTGTGCTGAAGAAAAAAAAAAAATTAGCTGCTGGGTGTTGTCATGGTGTTGCCTCCTGCCTCCTGTTTCACTTTGCTCTGCAAAGTGTCACCTTTGTGTACCAGTGTGGGCAGATGTCACCTGTTTTCTTTCTAAGTGTACCAGTGTGGGCAG